GAGAAATTAAAACATGATGCCTCAGGTTAGGAAAAAATTAGCTGGGCTCGCCACTTTTAGGATTGGGTCAAAAACTTTTGTAAGATTTCGGTTGACCTGCTTCCCATGATTGGTCCTAAAATTAGAATAACTTCGCACACCACTGTGCTTAAGACTGTTAATTAAAAATTTTAAGACGTTTGATTTTTTTATTTTACTTAAGGCCATAGCGATAGTTAACTTTATTTCGATTATTTTTTTCGGTTTTTTTTTACAGTTGTATTTTTAACTTGGTCGGTAGGGAAGAGGTAATTCAATTATATTTCTAATTTTTGGACCGTCCCATGTTTTACAAAAGTAAACGGTAAACGAGGTGACTACGCGGAAAAGATGTTTCGTCAGAAAATACGACACTCAATAGTTCTGCGCATATGCAGTACCTAGCTGCGCTAGGGTTAGGGTTAAGGTTAGGGTTAGGGTTTGTAAACACACGCATGCGCAGTACCATCATTGTTTCTTCCAGGCATCTCTCCGCCCCCCTCCCCCCCCCCGAAGAAAGTCTACCGCCCCCTCGACCCCCCCCCCCCCCAAACCCCCCACCGAACGAAATGGAATTTAAATAGAAACCATACTTTTACCAGTGTCCGCCCCCCGGAAAATCTTGAGCGCCCCCCCCCCCCCCCGATAATATCAAGTGCGCCCCCCGCCCCCCCCCGATAAAAAGTCTGGAAGAAACACTGAGTACCATCGAAAACATCCGCGAATGAAGGCGTATCTTTTTCCGACTAGAATTGGCCAAAAGTAAACAGGCCTACCTGACTGGAGTAAATAGCGAGACATCAAAAGCATTGTGGGTCGACCTTTTGAACTTTAACCTGCTTCACAATATATCCACGTTCTTGGGAATACACCAAGGATCATAATATCCTACAATATTACATTAAAATATTACGATTAACTCTGTGAAGAGATTATCACTAAGTACATCTCATAATATCCTAGATTATTACATTAGAAAATATGTCAATGAGTACCAAACTTATCACTATACTAGGCCTACAGTTGGTAAAATCCTAGAATAAAACATCAATTTAGATAGAGTAGGCCTGATGATTATAGCTTCAAATATTAAATTATGAAACACGTTGATATAGAACAATTAGTCCATATGATAACAAGCTTCAATATTAGTAAATGTATCAAAAAGAAAGCATCAAACAAATCCATTTAGACTCGCTATCAACATTTTTTAAAAAAGGAACAACAAAACACGCGATAAATTATTATTGTAAACTAATACTTTTAAATAAGTCAGTAATTTTAAAATCTTTTACTCAAATCTCTTTCATATATTTATAACAGCGCATACTTATCATTAAAACTCTTTTATAGCTCAAGTTGTGTATATTTTACCACGAAATATAATCCAGTTACCACGACGGCATAACAATGAACTTGATGAGTCCAATTCCAATTTTTTTTTTTTAATTTAATTTAGGCTAAAAGTATTTACCACAACACTGAGATAATAAAATATTCATTTACCACTAACATAATTCAATGAATTAATACATTACCACAAAATAATAAACCATATAAACAAATTACCGCTCAGATAAATTATTTAGTTACCACTAACGTAATTCAATGAATTAATACATTACCACAAAAATAATTGACCATATAAACCAATTACTACTAACACAAACTAATTAATTACCAATAATAGAAATTAATTAATTACCACTCAGATTATCCTCGTGTGTTCTCCTCCACCTCTACGTGACCTACTCGCGTCAGGTGAAGAAAGAAAAAAACTTCTAGCACAGGTAAGTTCATCAGAATTAATTTTAATTAAAAACCCCAACTGCAGCTGAGGATTAGTTTGGTTTAGTGACCAGCCACTTCCTGATGGCTAAAGATGTTGGCTTCTCCTTCAGATTGTCAATTAGCGGAAAATTTAGTATAAAGAGGGTTTTTTTTATTAATTTTAATTAATTTCATAGAAGGACACTAGTCTAATTTTTTAATCGAAATTTTATTGAAAAACAAATATTTATTTGCAATAAAAATCAATTATATCTTCCTTGTGCCGATATTGATTATCCTTTTATAACTATGCCTAATAACCCTTTCTTAAAATAATAACAATTAAATATATTTTCAGCAACATCTAATGTTTCTGAAATACACCTGTTATTGATTTGGATATACCAGTGCATTTCATGCTTAAAACCGGTTTTTCTTCTTCAAGAATCAATTCAGGCATAATGTTTTACACAACAAAGTAACCCTATTTGCAACCCAAAATTCTTACTCTACCCCTAACACTATAAACTAGTCTTAATTTCAAAGTAAACTTTGCCATAAACCTAAAAACCCTAAACTAACCCTATACCTTCCTTACACCTAAACCCATACTCTAACCCTATCTCTAATTCTAGCACATAAAGTATGCGACACGCTGGGTGACTATATACATATGAACTGAAATCACCGGTTTAAAAACGAAACAACTCGCATTCCTTCTACTAATTAAATTCCCTCATCGCCTTAATCAGATCTTCACCTGATGATAGTATTCATTAAACCTTTGACTTGGCTCGACCATCAAGTTTGACAGTTTAACCCCCCAGAGGCGACGGCACGTCACTCACTCACTGTGTCCCATAGGTGTGTTGAAAGAAATACGCCGCCTTTAAAGTGTCAATAATGGAGTGGTAGGGAAAGTTTAAGTACAACTGAATAAGTTTGATTTTCTTCATGTGTGTGTTAAATTTAGATTATTTGTAGTAGATTGTTGTTATAGTCTAGGTTCTCATAATGTTTTAATTGGACAACGTAAATTGAATATTTGGACACAGATAGTTTAAAGATACAGGGCCTTTACAGGTGACTGAATTATTGATTGCAATAATCTTAACAGACAGATGGACAGATGGACAGACGGATCAAAGGATAGAAGGATATACGGACAGATGAACAGACGGACAGATGGACAGAAGGACTGACGGACACATGGACAGATGGACAAATTGTCAGATAGACAGATGAATGGATAGACAGATGGACACAAGGATAGATGGATAGACGGATAGACAGATGGACAGAGGAAAAGGTGGATAGATGGATGGATAGACAGATGGACAGAAGGACCGAAGGACAGATAGATGGACAGATAGACATATGGATGGATAGAAAGATGGATAGATGGACAGATGGATGGACGGATAGACGGATGGACAGAGGAACAGATGGATAGATGGATGGATAGACAGATGGACAGAAGGACCGAAGGGCAGATAGTCAGATGGACAGATGGACATATGGATGGATAGAAAGATAGACAAATTGACAGATGGACAGATGGATGGATAGACAGATGGACAGAGGAACATATGGACAGATGGATGGATAGAAAGATGGACAGATGGATGGATAGACAGATGGACAGAGAAATAGATAGACAGATGGATAGACAGACGGACAGGCTGATAGACGTACAGGCGGGCAGACGGACAGCCAATCTTTAAAAAATTAGATATGTTTTATACAATGCGATAAAATTTATATCACAAAGCGCAACAGAAGCTTATTTCTTATATATAAAAACATGTTTATTTGTATCCATGAAGTCTCGTCCGGTGCTCGTGTTTACAATTTTCTTCGTCATTTCGATGGTTGAGAAGGCAATATGACACGTGGTTTTTCCAATACTAAATATAAACATATAAACACGTGTTTCCGCTTGGCACCTGCAGTTTATTCAGCCATTTTGGATTTTATTTATTACAAAATGAAATAGAAACACCAATCTCAGCGTAGGACAAAAAGTTTAAGGGGTCATCCATAAATGACGTCACACTCGTAGGGGGGAGGGGGGTCCGTAATTTTGTAAGGATGTGTGATGAGGGGGAGGGGGGGGGGCGGGGTTCAGATGTTGCGACGTCACATTTTTGCATTATAAAAAAGCAATGTTAGAAAACGAATTTTAGACGTTATTTCGCGTTTTAGATAACTTTTTTAATAAATTGTAATAGTTTAGGCAAGATTTTGGAAAAATATCAATGTTTTTAAAAAATTCAACTGCAATGTTGAGAGGGTTGTAGGTTGAGGTGTGACGTCATTTTAGGGGGGTCTGGCTTTTTGTGACGACGTATGAAGGAGGGGAGGGGGGAGGTAAAAATCGTCCAAAAAAAAGAGTGACGTCATTTATGGATGACCCCTAAGAAACAAAAACATTCATTCCAAAATTTAAAACAAAACCTTATGCAACAGCCTACCGTTGGTAGTAAATGTTTCGTTACCCATAATAAAAATCGGAATATAAGAAATAATCCGTGCTTTACAAAGTAGGTTTGTTCTATGTAGCCTATGGTGTTGGGTATAGGGCTGGTAAGTAGGCCGCTAACCAGTTCTACAGCTCAATAAAACCTGCATGAGCCACAGAACTGGTTGGCGAGCTACTTACCAGCCCTATTCTATGGAGAGTAAGCAAACTAGTATATTTAATGAAGATACAGAAATAGTACATATGCCTTCTATATAACACAATGGAAATCTTTGATCCGCAAAAATGGAAAATGTACGAAAAATTATTACATGTAATTGTTTAAAAAAAAGGTGATTAATATTAAAAACAACTTCTTGTTTATCAAAAAGCACGATGCATATATATATATATATATATATATATATATATATATATATATATATATATATATATATATATATATATATATATATATATATATATATATATATATGTGTGTGTGTGTGTGTGTGTGTATATGTATATATGTAGATATATATATATATATATATATATATATATATATATATATATATATATATATATATATATATATATGTATATATATATATATATATATATATATATATATATATATATATATATATATATATATATATATATATATATATATATATATATAACGGTGATTATTCCAGTGCATTGGAAGAAACTCAAAAGTTAATATAAAAAAAAAATTGCCACCAATTTTTCTCAACAGAAAGTAACTGGTCTAGTTTCACATCACACAATATCTATTTATTTTTAAAGTAATCGGGGACATTTCTTGATTTTGTTTCTTATTTTTCAATACAAGTTCGTAAACTTGATGTTTGCAATCAAAACGAGGCTGAATAAAGCAGTCTGCCATGACATGCGCAGAAGATGTGCGCTGTTGTAGGGTTTCCTTTCGTCGTAGTAGAAGTTCATCTTGCTGCAGAGACTGCTGTAGAGGCTGGGAAAAGCCTGGAACAAAATAACACAAAAATATAAGGTTTAAAATTTAATAATTTTTTAAAGGGTTTTGATAATTAGAAGGGGTCGGCGTGGTTGAGTCGGTAAAGTTCATGGCTGATAAACCGAAAAGTCCCGAGGTTCGAACCTCCAAACAGATGAAGTTTGATAATTGGGGACTGCAACTCTTCTAAGAGAGACAACTCCAAAATCAAACAACTCCTGCCTTGTACTTTGTTCTTGGTTGGGCAAAGACTATGAAAACCTTAAACTCACCTGCATGCATTGTTTTACTCACCTGCATGCCCTAACTCACCTGCATACACTGTTTAACTCACCTGCATGCTCTAACTCACCTGCATGCAATAACTCACCTGCATGCACTAACTCACACTAACTCACCTGCATGCACTATTTAACTCGCCTGCATGCACTAACTCACCTGCATGCACTGTTTAACTCACCTGCATGCACTGTTTAACTCACCTGTATGCACTATTTAACTCACCTGCATGCACGAACTCACCTGCAAGCACTAACTCACCTGCATACACTGTTTAGGTATGAGCTCACACTCCAGTTCTGTCCTCATCCCCGTGACGACTCTGGCACAAGTCTGGTACTGGTGTCTGGCCCACGCGCCCATCTCACAGTCCACGTGCTCTAACCGGATGCTGGGGATGTGGGGGGGTGGAATGTGAACGTTAATCTGGTGATACACTTGGGTAATATGTAGGGCTATTCCCCGGGGGGTGGGGGTGTATGTTTCCTTTTACTCTTAGGTAACACGTATACCCGGGGTGGGGGCGTCTGCTTTTTTTTAACTCTCAGGTAACACGTATACTCGGGGGTGGGGAGTTTTTTGGGGCAGGGGTACGGTTCTAGTCCGAATCCGGGTTCCTCAGTAGATCGTCCCTGAGTCCACCCAGCTCTGATGGGTACCTAATTCACTTTAGCGAAAGTAAAGACGGCTGGGCATAGTGTTGACCACACTATCCCTTTTTATGCCGGGGTCATAGAAACACGTGAACTCTATTTCACTTGCCCGATGGACCGTCAGGTTCGAAAAGGGGACTTAACATTTACTTTGTATTTTTGACGTCCATACCTTGTTTGTTTCGATACCAACATTACTGAGGACTACAACTTATTTTGTTTCTATTTTGATAGTTTCTATTTTCCCTCCGTGGTTTAAAAACATGAACTTACTTGCAGAACTGAATGAGAGAGATCTGGTCTGCCGTGGGCTGAGGTGCCACCATCATCAGGGCCTGCATGTTGCTGTCCAGGGTCTGGAAGCACATTCGGACTTCCGGTATCGGGTTCCGGAAACAGTGGATACCGGAAAGATACACTAGAGAATATCATAAGCGTGTGGAGTGTGAGAAGTTATTAATGTAAAGACTGGCGAATGGTGTGAAAGGGAGACAAGCGCCACAGTTTAAAACATTCAGGGGCTTGAATTGAATTAATGAACGTTTCAATATGCATCTGTGGGATAGCTTGTTCGACTTTAAAACAAAAAAACTTTTTTCAGCTCGTTTTTTTCTGCGTAGGGTCGTCTAAAGTAATGTGGTATGAGCATGTACCCACCTTCCACATTTGGTTAACAGCAGATTTTCTTCCAGGAATCTCTTCGCCCCCCCCCCCCCCTCCTAAAAATATCAACTGCCCCTCCCCTCGAAGAAAAAAGTCTGAAAGAAACACTGTTTAAAAGTGACCATGGAAGTAGATAAAATCTACTTCATCTGACATTCTAGGTATCTAGCTTTTTATCTGCATGCTAAGTTGCTACCTTGACCTCCAACTCACAACTACCGTCACCAACTAGCCTTTTGAAAATGTGATCTGTAAGTTTTTTGTTATAATACCACACTTCCTTCAAGGATAAACATTTCCTACCTCCTTTGTTTCGACACAGGATGTCAGCGCCGAGTTCAAACGCCCCGAGTTCGATTCCCATCTCCGCCAGCACGCGAGAAGCGTCAGGACAAGCCAGCGCCTTCTGCCGGATGCACTGTGCCAGGGAGTCCCGGTTTCTGCGAGAGGAAGCGGAAATAGATAACACACTAGGCAAGCACATGTCGGCCAATATAGGGCAGGTAAGTAGGTCACCAACCATTTCTACGGCTCAATAAAACCTCCCTTAGCCATAGTACTGGTTGGTGACCTACTTACCAGCCCTATAACAGCCCTAGATATTTTTTTTCTATTTTTAATTTAATTAAGTCTATTTATTAATTTTTTTATTTATTTTAAGTTTATATTTACTTTTGTTTGTTGTGGGTTTTTTTCAAACACAAATAAGTCATAATGCAAAAAAAAATATTGCTTCAGAGATGGTAAAGAACATCCAAACTGGCTAAAGCACTCACAGACAGAACTGGTTAACCTGGTCGGCGTTCTCGCCTATGGCCGTGGTCCTGGCCAGTGCTAGATCAGACAGCTGACTCGGGCTGAGGTTGACGTAGTTGTAGCACTGACGTATGTCTTTCTCTAGCGTCGCCCGGCAGGCTGTAGGGGGTTAAAGCAGAGGGATATTTATTTGAACAAATTTGTGGACTGTAGGGGGTTAACGCATAGAGAGGCGTAAATAGATTGGCAGGCTGTAGGGGGTTAAAGCAGAGAGGTACTTAATTAAATAGATCGGCAGGCTGTAGGGGGTTAAAGCAGAGAAATACCTAATTAAATAGATCGGCAGGCTGTAGGGGGTTAAAGCAGAGAGGTACTTAATTAAATAGATCGGCAGGCTGTAGGGGGTTAAAGCAGAGAAATACCTAATTAAATAGATCGGCAGGCTGTAGGGGGTTAAAGCAGAGAAATACTTAATTAAATAGATCGGCAGGCTGTAGGGGGTTAAAGCAGCGAGGTACTTAATTAAATAGATCGGCAGGCTGTAGGGGGTTAAAGCAGCGATGTACTTAATTAAATAGATCGGCAGGCTGTAGGGGGTTAAAGCAGAGGGATTCTTAACTGAACAAATATGTGGGCTATAGGGGGTTAAAGCAGAGAGATACTTAACTGAACAAATATGTGGGCTATAGGGGGTTAAAGCATAGTTACTTAATTGAACATATTTGCAGACTGTATTGGGTTAAACAATACAAAAGATTGCCAGACTATAGAGGGTTAAATAATATTTACTTATTTAGAGAACATAGAGGCAAGCGTTAAAGGCTTACACAATAGAAGTGCATATTATTATTAACATTAAAGTTCTTGTGCAGAGCGTGTGTAGGTGTGGGGGCACATTCTTAAGGAATTTGTATTTAAAGAGATTCAGACTGTGAAGGAGGGATTAGTCACTTTATGTTATTGATGTTGTATATAATGCAGGCAAATGACTAACTAACAGGTAAATGACTAATCAATAGTTCAATGACTAACAAGTAAATGACTAAACAGGTAAATACTCATCAATATGTAAATGACTATTTACAAGTAAAAAAACTAATCTACAAGTAAATGACTAAACAGATAAATGACTAATCAACGAGTAAATGACTAAAGCCGAGGTAAAAAAAAAAGACTCACGGTAAGAACAGGAATCATAGAAGGCACCAAAGAGCGCCTGGCTCTGGGACAGGATGGTCTGTCTCTCGACCTGTGTGGCACACAGTGTGCTGTTGTACAGCCGCTGTGTGATGGCTTGACCACACACGTCCACCTGGGGTCGAACTCTGAAACAGTTTAAAATACACGTAATTACATGCGTACACCTGGGGTCGAACTCTGAAACAGTTTAAAATACACGTAATTACATGCGTACACCTGGGGTCGAACTCTGAAACAGGTTAAAATACAAGTAATTACATGCGTACACCTGGGGTCGAACTCTGAAACAGGTTAAAATACAAGTAATTACATGCGTACACCTGGGGTCGAACTCTGAAACAGGTTAAAATACAAGTAATTACATGCGTACACCTGGGGTCGAACTCTGAAACAGGTTAAAATACAAGTAATTACATGCGTACACCTGGGGTCGAACTCTGAAACAGGTTAAAATACAAGTAATTACATGCGTACACCTGGGGTCGAACTCTGAAACAGGTTAAAATACAAGTAATTACATGCGTACACCTGGGGTCGAACTCTGAAACAGGTTAAAATACAAGTAATTACATGCGTACACCTGGGGTCGAACTCTGAAACAGTTTAAAATACACGTAATTACATGCGTACACCTGGGGTCGAACTCTGAAACAGGTTAAAATACAAGTAATTACATGCGTACACCTGGGGTCGAACTCTGAAACAGGTTAAAATACACGTAATTACATGCGTACACCTGGGGTCGAACTCTGAAACAGTTTAAAATACACGTAATTACATGCGTACACCTGGGGTCGAACTCTGAAACAGTTTAAAATACACGTAATTACATGCGTACACCTGGGGTCGAACTCTGAAACAGTTTAAAATACAAGTAATTACATGCGTACACCTGGGGTCGAACTCTGAAACAGTTTAAAATACACGTAATTACATGCGTACACCTGGGGTCGAACTCTGAAACAGTTTAAAATACAAGTAATTACATGCGTACACCTGGGGTCGAACTCTGAAACAGTTTAAAATACACGTAATTACATGCGTACACCTGGGGTCGAACTCTGAAACAGGTTAAAATACACGTAATTACATGCGTACACCTGGGGTCGAACTCTGAAACAGGTTAAAATACAAGTAATTACATGCGTACACCTGGGGTCGAACTCTGAAACAGGTTAAAATACAAGTAATTACATGCGTACACCTGGGGTCGAACTCTGAAACAGTTTAAAATACACGTAATTACATGCGTACACCTGGGGTCGAACTCTGAAACAGTTTAAAATACAAGTAATTACATGCGTACACCTGGGGTCGAACTCTGAAACAGTTTAAAATACAAGTAATTACATGCGTACACCTGGGGTCGAACTCTGAAACACATGTCAACATGCACTTAATTACATGTGTACACCTGGGGTCGAACTCTGAAACACATGTCAACATGCACTTAATTACATGTGTACACCTGGGGTCGAACTCTGAAACACATGTCAACAAGCACTTAATTACATGCGTACACCCGGGGTCGAACTCTGAAACACATGTCAACATGCACTTGTGACACGCATACATACAAAGCACACCAAATCTATTATATATATATATATATATATATTTGAATTATGAACTATGGAACAATGCAGTGTATATACTAATATCGCACTAATCTCGGTGCATTCGTTAAACATGGGACTTACTTTCAAATAATGTGAAAAGAAGGTTCGTTCACAGTGTGCTTAAAGAGTAAAATATTACATTCCAACTTGGAATGCTCTAAAATAATATATTCCAAATATACATTAACAGTAAAAATATTGCATTCTTAACATGGCTCTTATAATAAAATAGTTCATTCTTAATGCTCTTTAAAACCGTAGAACATTACTTTACTAATTCGTTAGCTCTTACAGTAAAATATTACAATTCTAAATTTGTGTTCTTTTTAACAAGTATGACATTCCTACCTAGACGAATGTGCACTTAAAATAAAAGCATGACATTCCTACTTACATTAATGTTCCCTTACAATAAAACATGACATCCCAACTTACACCAGTGCTTTTATTACACAAGTATGACATTCCCATTCCGACAAATGTTCCCTTACAATAAAACATTACATTCCTACTTACGCCAATGCTTTTATTACATAAGTATGACATTCATGCTTACACCAATGCTCCCTTACAACAAAACTATGACATCCGTACTTATACCAATGTGCACACAATAAAACTATGACATTCCTACTTACACCAATGTACCCTTACAACAAAACTATGACATTCCTACTTACACCAACGTTCCCTTACAACAAAACTATGACATCCGTACTTACACCAGTGTTCATTAAAAATAAAAACATGACATCCCTACTTACACCAATGTTCCCTTACAACAAAACTATGACATCCCTTTCAATAAAACTATGACATCCCTACTTACACACACGCCCGAGCCTTGAATGTAGCCAGCCCCTCCACGGGGGCGTTACCCTCCGTGCCATTACTGGCCAGGTACCTGAGGTTGTTGATGTTCAGGCTGGAGTTCTGGGCACAGGCCGTCGCAGACCGGAGCCAGGTTTGCTGGCATTGGCTGCCAATCAGCTGACCACTGGTCAGTTGGACCAGCACCACGACCAAGGTCAAGGCCAGAACTAAAAATAAACATTTTAAAAAATTAATGAAAGCACTGCGTCATAATTGTATTTTCATTTTATTTTCAAGATAAGAGCAATTAAGTTTGTTTTCTTAGGCATTTAAGAATTTTTTAATGTGTATTGAATTTATTGGCGGCATGGTAGAGGGATAGATCTTACTAGCGCTAGTTTAAAAGCTTCGGGATTGAAACCCCAAACGCTAAGACCGATCAGTATCGACAACAGCTCTTACTAAAATCCATCCTTATGGTTGTCCGACCATAACCCCCTGGAGATAAACCCCTCCATATAAACCCCTTGGACATAAACCTCCCAACATAAACCCCCTTGGACATACCCCTGCCCCCCGAACAATAACCCCTGAACAAAAAAAACGTCCAATATGGGTGTTATCGTCCCAATATTTGTAAATTCATTATTGTGCCCGCCCTAATAAACTCTACTTCACAAGGGTCTTTCGGCTCAAAAGGATAAGCCTACTATACTTAAATGGATGTTTTGAGCCCTTGCCATATTCCCTATTTTTAAACTAGAAAAATATCAACGATTGTCTTGCAATCCATACAAATATCAGTGTTGATATTTTCTATCGAATAAATTATGGCGTGTAAACACAGTCATCCTAGCGATGTGTTGCGGATGATTTCTCTTCTTTCTCCTCTGAATTTATGTGTTCATTTTTACTAGTACATATTTCTAGAGAGCTGACAACTTTCGGATAATGTAGTCCGAACGTTTGATTCGAGTCAGCCCTCAAATAATTATTGAGGAAAGTATCAGCGGCATTACGTTGTAAAATGGGAGCGGAGTGGCCAAGTGGTAGAGTACACGACTGCTAACCCGAAAGTCTATAGACTCTTTAGTCCTCCTAGATGTGAATCTATTCTGGGTCGTTAGAACGTGAACATTTACTGTTTTGACCTCACAATCTATTTATTTTTACATCACATTTTCAATGATGTTATAAAATAACTAACACACTATCAAGACTTAATCATTACATCACTATTAAAGAAAATCTCCATTTACTAAAACAATACTTCTAAGTCTAAACCTAAATAGAATGGGGTAAATTCATAACAAAATAAAAACGGGAAAAATTTGACGAAACTGTTCTACTCACGTTTACATAGATGTTTGTCCATTTTTTGTACTATATCTGGCCTGCACTAGATTCCTTTTGGCAAAGATGGAGTCTGTATCAATTTATCTTTATATACTGGGTGTGAGAGGCGGTGGCTTCGTGGCTCATCTTGCGTCTTAATTAATTACTGTAAACACGCTTTTTTTATTTTTTGGTGTATCAGGATTGTGATTTAATGTTAATTAATTTCTATTGAATATAACATACATTTTTAAACTTAAAATTACTCACTATTATTTTCCTGTGTATCTTGAAAAGAATTTGAAAACAAATGTTGAGTTAATTCAACAGTCCTATTTAAAAATTTAAATTGGGGTTAAATATATTAAATGCGAGCCGATATTTTTTTTTTCAGTTTTACCGTAGTTCGATGAGTTACGTAGATGGTCCGCGCCGATAAAATGTGTGTGAGTGGGATTGACGTCTGCTTCACTGGGGGTCATCAATCGTCGGGGATTCTCGTTCATGTTCGCATTTTTGTGTGTGTCATTATACACATTCATACATACATACATACATGCATGAACACCTAACCACATACACACACATGCAAGCACATACACATGTACACAAATCTAGCCTAGGGTCTTGCCTTTGTGTCTGGCTCATGCATTGCATATTAGCTGTCACAGTTCGAGCATCCTCACTTTAGCAACATACCATCCCACACTTCAATCAACCCACTATACTCCTTCACTCCACCCCGCTACCAACATACCAACCACCCCTCACTCAACCCACTATACTCATTCACCCCCCCCCCCACTTACCAACTCCTTTACCCACCTACACCAACATACCAAACACCCCTCGATCAAACCACTACCCCATACTCCACCCTTCAATCTACCAACTTACCAGCCTACCCCTCCACCTCTCCACTACTCTACCAACATACTAGCTACCTCCCTTTCCCCTACCCAACATACCATTCCTCTACACCAGCCCTATTCAAATCCATATCCAACTTCCCCCCCCCCCCCACCCCACACACACATACACACATGCATTTTCTACCAGAAAATACGCTGCGTTCATAACAAATCGCTTCCAAAACAAATATTTCGACATCTTTTAACTAGTCAAACCCTCCAACTAAAATTAAACATAAAGGATATATATATATATATATATATATATATATATATATATATATATATATATATATATATATATATATATATATATATATATATATATATATATATATATATATATATATATATATATATATATATATATAATTAATTTTAAATTTGACCCCAACAGTAACCTTTGACCTCAAATGAAGCCTCATATTATTTCCTGACCATAAACATTAATCTTTAATCTAAAACTAACTCTAACTAAGATACATGATCCCTACTGTCAAAAAAAAATCATCAACAAAACTAAATTAATGATAAAATTAACGTCACGTGATACACCTATCGATACGATAGATGGGGCTATCACGTGATCGATACCCCTGTCAGCAGATCTGGCTGTTGACGAACTGGCCAAGATGACGTCATCAATCACACGTCGTGTACCAGACGGTTCGACCACACAACCATTTCAGTGAAGTGATTTTTTTTTTCATTAAACGTTATAGACTTCAACACATTTTTAAACACCTTCCCAAACTTTAATGGTATGATAGGTATTGCTTAGTCAAACTGTCCAAAAAATGTAGTGGTGTGATCGGTATTGCTTAGTTAAAATGTACGTATATAAACCTTCCTAAAATTGTCGGTAGCGTGATACATATTGATTAGTTTGATGCTGATAGGTGATGTTATTTACACTTTGAACTGTTAGAAACACTTGGATTTTACGGGTGAAAAATCTGTTGGGAAGAAAATCTTAAATCTTAAACTTTCCGTTTTGAAGTTTTGTAACTATCTTTGAAGGAATAAATTAAAATTTTCAAAGCTAGAATCTTTGAAGCTAATATCTTTGAATAAATTGAACTTTTGAGGCTAGCATTTTTAAGGGAGTAATCTAGAACTTTTCAAGCTTGGATCTTTGAAGGAATGTGTATAATTTTTTTAAGCTAGGATATTTGAAGGAATATATTAAAATCTTTAAAGCTATAATCTTTTAAGGATTAAATTAGAATCTTTAAAAGTGAGATCTCAGAAGAAATAAATGTATAACAGAATGTTAGGCTCTTTGGAGAAATATATTCGTGTTTTTTGCTGATACAAAAGAGGCACACTGAAAAAAAACTAAGATCTTTGAAGGAAAAATCTAGGTTCTTTGAAACATAAAATTTGGCAATGTAAAGAACAAATTAGACTCCCGTCACAACGTACAATAAAGATTGAATTTGAAAAAAAGTTTGAAAGTATCAAATCAAAACATCATTTTCATTTTCAGCACTTCTATCAGAACAATGATTGTAAAACTTGCGAATGTTTGTAATTAAAGTGTACGACAATGTGGGTACTGTCAGAACTATACCAGAAAACTAAAGACTCGTTTGAACAAAACATTACTTTACAATATATGTAAACGAAGTTTTTAGCATTTTTTTTTAAAATAAAAAGCTGTTTTTTTATAAAAATGTAGTATTTAATGGAGATTATTTTGCGATACGTTAGCAGAATAAATTTAATTTTCTTTTTTATCTATCAACCTACAATAAACCAAGTGCATTTCAAAATGAAACTAATTTAAACCACTGGTTTATGATTTAGGCCACTTTAATAGTTCGACCCTAATCCCCTGCTAAACCCCTCCCCCCTCCCTGAGCCTAAAAAATCCCTTATCACTGAATACATTAACATTAATCTTGTTGACCCCCCCCCCCCTCCCCCATCACCCAATTTATGATGGATCACCTTACGCCTGACAGGGGCACGTCAGTACGCAGTTACCTGCTTGTCGCGCTTGAAAGGGGAGGCAATGGTCACGGATTCAATTCAATTTTTCAAATCAGTTGTTAAATCATGGATTAACTCCCCTTGTAGTGAAGCTGAGTGGACTATAAATAACGTACCAGCAACGCTTGTTTCAGATCATTTTTGGCAAGAAATTAAACTTGCAACTGGTTACTTTATCTATAAGCTAATTATTACAAAATTTTAGGAACTTAAGTCACTTTTAACTCGCTTTATAAAAATGTATCTTAAACATTCAGTATTCAAACAAGAGATAAAATGTTTTTAAAAACATATAACAAAAATCATCAGTTGATTATAAATGTATTTTTATTAAATTAACAATTCATAATTTACAAACATCACTTTTTATTCACAACAAATGTACCGAAAGCATAAAATCTAATTTTTAAAGTTAATAAATATAACACAGCATGTTTGCTAAGACGAGTTGGTTTTGTTTTATTGTCTGGACGGATGTTATTTAGCATTGTCAAAAAATACATTTCAGTCATTATTATATAATATATGTAACTGTATCACCAATAATTGATACTCTCTAATAATCAAACAAAAATCTTTTTTCAAGTCATTATTACATTTCTGAGAGTAAGGGAGATAACTCGAACATCAATGATTGTATGTCTGGTGTGGATTTTATTCGGTTATTGTTCTTGTTATAAAACTAATCGCAGAAGGCTACCATCTCACCTTGTTTTAAAATTACTTTCCTTAAGGTAGACAGAGTTTCTTCCAGCCCCCCCCCCCCCCCCCCGAAAAAAGTCTACCGCCCCCCCCCCCCCGGAAAATTTCAAGTGCCCCCCACCCCCCGTAGAAAAAAGTCTGGAAGAAACACTGAAGGTAGAGTACCCATCTAAGATAAGTAGACTCAGCTAAGTCATACGGACTTAAGCCTGTGAGTCGAACTCGAGTCTTTAGGGGCAGCATTTGTGAGTTCTACCGTCCGACTTCTCACTCCCGTAGCTCTTCTCATAATACATAATTTTAAAATGTACATAACTCACAGGCGGCAGGGCATATTGCTGACCACACCATCCCTTCATATTCCGAGGTCACAGAAACAGGTGAACTCTACTTCACTTGCCCCATAGGCCGTCATGTTCGTGAAGGGAACTTTAACTCACTGGCAGGAGGAGGCAGAAAGGATGGGAAGGAAATGGGATCCACTGAAATAAGTGGCAGGAGACCGTGGAATGTATTGACAGAGCGCTATGTTAAGGACGGAACGAAAAGGATAAAATGATGTTGGCTGTGATAAACTTAAAGGTAAAACATCAAACATGTTTCCCCAACTTGGCTCTATTTCAGTCTATCACATCGTGGGGTTAGATTATAATAAAACCAGAACAGTTCTGAAATCCTATCATGGTTTACTTAGGCATCAGCATTAGATTGTTGAACTATGTTACACAGTGATTATTTTTTAAATCTTACAAACGATGATCCCTAAATTGAATATTTTTAACAACAATTATTTTCAGTAACAAGAAATAACTTCCGACCTCAACATATATATATATATATATATATATATATATATATATATATATATATATATATATATATATATATATATATATATATATATATATATATATATATATATATATATATATATATATATAATTAATTTATAATTTTATCACCATTAAACATACTCTGCTTTTTATTGTTCTGGTCTAGTTATTAGTTTATAACTAGTAGCTTCATGTTTCTGTTCACTTTTCTCTTTTCTTGTTTTATCTCAGACAAACTACAGTGCTGGACTAGAAAACTTTCACGAGTTTTCTGTTTCAGTTCCAGAATCGCAGAGGTTTATATTTGTTTTGAATGGGTTGAAATATTGGTCATGATGTTTTAGTGGGAAATATTTCCTAGTATATGACAAACTGTCACTTAATTCTCATAACCACAAATGGCAAATAGCCATTTATGAAAATAGCCACATATTATGAATACCCACATAAGACAATTACCAACATTATTATATTTCCAGTACATTTGTCCAGAAATGGGTTTTTAAATAGTTGAATTTTTTTTTTTAAATTCGATTGTAAATTGTTAGTAACAATATATATTTTCTTGGTAGGCATTTTAGTATCCATTGGCTTATTTTGAATGAAATATCCTCATTTAAGATTGACTTTTCTTCTTCTTCGTTTTCAGTTTGTCTTCGAAGTTGATGCTTGTCTTCAACATTATTTTAGCATGAGTTTGGAAATGTCTTTTTTTTTCTTGATTCCTGGTAATTTTTTCATTTGTCTGTAGGTGGCTGTATTTTTTATACCATCGTCAACACACAAATATATTTCATAGTTTTTACCAGTGGGGAAACGCCCATTTCTTTTGCTTGGGATACCGTGAATCGTCTCCGAACGAATCGTAAATCGGCACATCCACTTCCGCCCGTACGCTTCGATTTGATTGGACGGTTTGAACTATGAATGGAGATGTCCTTGGCTTCGCGGATATCTTCTTAATCTCCTCTTCCGTCTTCATCGTGTTGTTGTTGTTGATGTTGGTGTTGTTGTTGATGATGTTGCCTTCGATTTTCCTGATGGCGTACCTGTCCCCGTGGTCGTCAGGAGCGGTCAAGGCCAGCTGTTTCTTCTGCTGGTCAATGGGCTCCACCACAAACTTGCCGTCCTTTAAACATCGTGGATTCACTAGGACGTGGACCTAAAGAAAGAACAAAAAAATTGTTTAAGCATGCAAGTATTTGTGAAGATCTATCAAAATAAATCGCATTAGTATTATCTGATAAGAGAGTGTAGGCTTCCTGAACTATACTTAAAAAAACAGATACATACACATACACACAAATATATATATATATATATATATATATATATATATATATATATATATATATATATATATATATATATATATATATATATATATATATATATATGCATGTATACATATATGTCTATATATACATACATATATATATATATATATATATATATATATATATATATATATATATATATATATGCATGTATACATATATGTCTATATATACATACATACATATATATATATATATATATATATATATATATATATATATATATATATATATATATATATATATATATATATATGTATATATATATATATATATATATATATATATATATATATATATATATATATATATGTCAGTATATTACACTATTACGAGTTACGCTATTAGGTAAAGCTAGCAATGTATACTGAGATCGTTGTAGTGAGTCTGACAAGCTACCTGATGAAGCAACAATTTATGCTAACCTGAGTTGCGTTGAGAGGTGAGCAACAGCACGTGACTGAGGCACTAGCCGTGCACATGATGATCTCCAGAACCCCGAGGAAACAGATGAACAGAGTCACTAGCCATTGGAGGCGACAGCTGTCTATAGAGTGGCGCTACAAGACAGTATTATGTATATGTATTTATGTGTGTGTATATATATATATATATATATATATATATATATATATATATATATATATATATATATATATATATATATACAAATATATATACATACATACATATATAGACGCATATATATATATACATGTGTATTATATATACAAATATAAATATGTATATACATATATACATATATATATATATATATATATATATATATATATATATATATATATATATATATATATATATATATATATATATATATATATATATATATATATATATATGGTAAATTTGATAATTCGAAAGGTACACCCAATACGACAAACATTAGATAAAAAAGATATTTAAAATACATAAAACTAACCGTATATGAAATGTATCCATTGATAAACATACAAACGGGACCGAATACAGCACTGCACAAGATATTGATTACCAGGAAAGCTATTTTCTGTACATATTGGAAACAGTTCACCGTTAGAAAATGTCTACATTGTGTATATGATAATACTATTACTAAATCATATGCATGAGTAAGTTAAGTTTTAACCTTCCATAGCGGAAGTTAAATTCTTTATAATAAATGGATGGTGGTAGTAGCATAAATATAAAAGTAAATTTTACTTTCTAATAGTATATTATTATAGTATTATTTAAAACGAATAAAGATTTATTTGTAAATATTTTAAATGCTTTTAGCATTAACTTTTATTATCTTTTCCTTTCCGTGAAAAAAAGGAAGATGACAACTGTAATTTAGTTAATGTTTTAATAACCTGTAGTGTGGACTCGTGCACAGGTTCCGAACTCAAGACTTTCTGCTTATAAGTCGTGAGCTCTATCATTCGACCACGCCGGTCCTTTTTTTTAAAAGTAAAGTTACCTTTTTAAACCTTGCGGTCTATAGGGCCAGTGAAGTAGAGTTCACTTATTTCTGTGACCTAGGCATATGAAGAGATGGTGTGGTCAGCACTATGCCCAGCCGCCTTTACTTTCCCTAACAGGAGTTAGGTACCCATCAGAGTTGGGTGGACTCAGGGACGGTCTACTGACTTGAACCCGGATTCGAACTCGAGACATACGGGTTACCGTTAAACCACTCCGTCCCCTGTCCCTTATGTACCAGTGTGTTTATCTTTACATGAAGTAACGAGACAAGCTGGCCATAGCGTACTCACCAACAGTTGTAACGAGTGAGCCCTCTGTCTTGTTATGCACGTGCCTAAGGCTCCCGCTATCGCAAACTGAAAGTAAAGAGAAGTTGAGTACTTACGGATGTTTTATCTGTTTTACATATTTTATACTCTATATCAAAGAGTAAAGAATCGTTCGTATTTTTATATTTTAATACCCTCAAACCAAACAGCCAAGTTAAGCTTGTAAAACATCATTGAGTCGACTCGGCCCTAATCTGTACCTTACTTAAATCATGGATTTATCATTTACTGATAGACTTAAAAAACATAGACATAAAAAGACTATTGGATCATTACACCTTCAAAATCAAAAGTTTATGAACAGCGCAACTATTTATTGTTTTACCGAAGTGATTTGCAGCAAAGGAAACAAAACAAACACATTTTATGTATTAGTCTCCACCCCAGTCATCTGTGTTATTTTTTTCTAATTTGTTTATTCAATTAGTCGGCGTGGTCGATCCCGCAAGGCTCATTGTTGCTAAACCGAAAAGTCCCGAGTTCGAACCCCAGAGATGAGTATAGCAACACATCAAGGAGATAAAGTTCCTAAAAGTCCAACTTCTGCTGCTTTATAGTTTGTTCTAGGTTGGACAAAGGCAAATCCACAAAGAAAAACAGTCTGAAATGGGAGACAACTGGCCATTTGGTGTATAACATGTTGACACGCAATAGTTAATGTTGGAGGATCGTCCATCCAACAATACAATTAAGAGCGAAGAAGGAATTGTATTTAAGTTCGTTTCTTTTTTTTCTGCTTTGCATTTTCTGTTAGTCTGGTCCATGAAGGTGTACTTTTCCAAAATGTGTATGAGTCAAATTATTTCCCAGCAGTGCCCTATTAATAAAGGCTCTAACAGTATCAATCATGAACCAAAACAACTAAGGTCATGCATGATGGGGGACGGAGTGGTCTAGCGGTAGAGAGCTGGACTTCTAACCCGTAAGTCTCGAGTACGAATCCGGGTTCAAGTCAGTAGACCATCCCTGAGTCCACCCAACTTTGATGGGTACCTAACTCACGTTAGGGAAAGTGAGGCGGCTGGGCATAGTGCTGACCACACTATCTCTTTTTATGCCCTATAGACCGTCAGGTTTGAAAAGGGAACTTTACTAATGCATGATGTGCCACTGCCTACAAGTTTGTTAATCTAGTGATAACGCTGGTAACGATATATCTACCCCAAAGCTTAACCTTAAAGCCAAAGCAACATTAGCAATAACCCTATAAACTAAGGGGTTTTCCCATTGGTGACATTAAAAACAAATGAAACTTTAATCAGCCCCTCGCGTGACCACAAGTAGTTTAGGTCTTTGAAAACATATTGAAGCTAATCTATATGAAAAGTTTTAGACTTGACAAACAGATAAAAACCAATTTTAATAGTATAAAAAAAAGAATTTGAACAGCGTTGACTTACTTATATCTACACTAGTTACCCATATCCTCAAATCTAAATAACACCAAAAACCTTGTTTGGGTCCTTGTGGCACCACAGAGCCGTGTGTCTAGGGCTAATAGTCGCATGACGGCGCCCACCCCTCCCCATGCCTGACCACAACCGGATGCCTCCATCTAGGTGGCTCACCTTGGTCACGAACACAAGGCCGTTGAAGTCCATCTAGGAACACTTAAACCTTGGCCGGTGACCTTTACTGGAAGGTCATACGCCCAGTGATGCCGTGTTAGTATTAGTTGTTTGATTTTGGAGTTGTCTATTCTAGATGGGTTGCTGTCCCCAGCTATCGAGCTCATCTGATCGGGTATTCGAACTCGGGACTTTTCAGCTACCCTTATCCACAGCACTTAGCTAAACATTTAAAATAACCTAGTTCTCTTCAGTCTTAGGGGATGAGTTTAAGTATTAGATTGACTTTAACTTACAATCGTGGACCAATTCACTAAAAAAACAAAATAAACGATGCACGCTTCAATAGCTCTGATTAGCCGTATCCACAGCACTTAGCTTAACATTTTAAAAAAAACTAATTATCTTCAGTCATAGGGGATAAGTTTCAGTATCAGTTCCACTTTAATTTACAATCGAGGACCAATTCACCAAAAAATAAATTATGCCCACTTCAATAGTCCTGATTAGCCATATCCACAGCACGTAGCTAAACATTTAAAATAACCTAATTCTCTTCAGTCATAGGGGATAAGTTTCAGTATCAGTTCCACTTTAATTTACAATCGAGGACCAATTCACCAAAAAATAAATTATGCCCACTTCAATAGTCCTGATTAGCCATATCCACAGCACGTAGCTAAACATTTAAAATAACCTAATTCTCTTCAGTCATAGGGGATAAGTTTCAGTATCAGTTCCACTTTAATTTACAATCGAGGACCAATTCACCAAAAAATAAATTATGCCCACTTCAATAGTCCTGATTAGCCATATCCACAGCACGTAGCTAAACATTTAAAATAACCTAATTCTCTTCAATCATAGGGCATGTGTTTAAGTATTAGATCACTTTAACTTAAAATCGAGGACCAATTCATACAAAAAATAATGCACACTTCAGTTGCTCTGACTTAGCCATAACCACAGCATTGCGCTAAATATGTAACATAACCGTAACGCTTAATTAATTATTAATTAGTATTACTGGCTGTGTGAATGCATGAGGCCCTCATTGACCTACTGACCACAACCAATCAACTCACAACAAACTCAACAGCACCGACTCACCCAAATCCCACACCACAGTGGTGACGACACGAGCGTCAGCGACACGACGGCTTCGTACTTCGAACCGTAGCTCGTGACGTCACTGTCGTATGACGTCATGGTCAGGATGATATCCGCCATCCCCAGGGCGAAGACGATGATCCCCGTGTTAATCTGCAGGGCGCCCATGATCCGCATCCCTCCATAAGGGAACGAGTCGGGTCGATTCGTCGTTATCCTCTGAAGTTCCAGAAACGAGCTTGACATTTTGGTTTCGAGGCTATATTTGTTAGTTTTCGTGGATGTTAGTTATTTTGTTGCTTTTTTTATAATCTCTCCAACTAGAAGTTACACAAAGATATTTGTTAGTTGTCGTGTAGGTTAGTTTCTTTTATTGCGTATTTTATAATCTCTCCAACAAGAAGTTACACAAAGATATTTTTTTTTCCTTTTTTTTTTGTTAGTGTCTTGTATGTTTTATTCTATTTGTTGCTTTTTTTTATAATCTCTCCAACAAGAAGTTACACAAAGATAATTTTATTTTATTTATCCTTTTTTTTTTAAATTTAGTATATCAAAGCCTTGAGTTTAATTGTAATATTGTTTTTTTAACACATGGGCTTATTCTAATTATTAAAAATGTCTTTATTTAAATTCATGTATTATTAATCCACAAGAACTCACAAAATAAAAAATTTTCGAAGATCCAACGGGCATAGAACAAATCACTTTTTTTTCTAAAAAGCTAGAATATTAACTAGCTAATGTTTCAAATGAGTAGAAAGGTAACTCCAACTTAAAGTCTGTCAGAGCTAAAGAACAATGTCACGATTTTTCTTGATGTCTAGACTCTCCAGGGACAAGTGTCGCCCTGACGCTAAAAGCCAGGGGGCGGAACTTCTGCTTGCCACAAAGGGCGGGATTATCTCCCCTCATAAGACATGTCCGAATATGCTGTATTTAGAAATTGCGAACATTAAAAAATGACTTGAATTTATTTATTTATCGAATTTTTTATTCGTAACGTTCTCTGTTATATCTGTAAAAAGAAAAAAAAAGGAAATAAAAATGTACACAATTTTTAAGTAAAATAAAATTCAAGGTTTTAACTACATTTTAAGAAATAAACATCACATAGCGATTTAATTCATTCCTTGCCAAATAAAAACATTAAAATAATTTTTAAAATTAAACTTTTTTTCTACTTTATGTTTATATACCAAAGGTTAAATAATTTAAGGTATAATATTTATATATAATGATGGATCAGAAAGATTGTGTTTTAACGCACAGAAAGTTTGTTTTCTTAATTAATAATTCACCGCTTAATTAGCCTTGCATTGATAACGTAGGTAAAAAAAATATTCATGTAACAATTTTCAGACAATTAAAAACTTTAAATTATACTCAACTCAATCTCAACAAAGGGATCCAATGATTTTTTTTTTTAAAACATGGCACTTTGAAATTATTCACACAAACTTAGAAATATGGAAATCAAACAAACTAAACAAAGTATCACCTTCCCATTTCGACGGACCGTACACAGTTTAGTAAGTGGACTGAGTAAAAAAAAAAACCGTCATATAAAATAAATAATAAAGTTCCCTTTCAAACCTTGACGGTCTATGGGACCAGTGAAGTAGTGTTCACCTATGCCCATTAATGTTCTACTGTCGTCTCTAGGCCACACGTCCCCCATATAATAAGGTCACCATTTGATGCAAGCTCTACTTGTTATCAAAGCAAATCCAAAATACTAGCACAATTATTAGCATCCTTGTACTGCGTAAAATATAGTTTTAATTTCAAATTCTTCTATTTATTATCTGAATTTTAGTTGTTGTTCTTTTTTTTTTTAAAGTTTTATTAGTATTATTTTTGCTTGTTTACAAGCTGGATTGTACATTCAATTGTTTACATTTTAGGAACGTCATGTATGTCCTACAACTTAACAGTACATCTGCCTATTAGCTTAAAAAAAGTTTTCTAAAAATGTTTCAAGTAGACAAAGGAGGCGTGAAAAATAGTTGTAATTTCGAATTCTTCTTCTTTCAAGATTGGATTGTGATGGTTACTAATTCCAGTAATTTCTTCATTCTGTAAATTCAAGAGGGACAACTTAAGGAATTGTACTAAAAAGTCTTTTAAAATACAAAATAATTCAATTTTAATTACACAGTAATGAAAATCATATGCTTTAGTTATATAAAAAAGTGAATAAATAGGTTTAAACGATTTTCTGTTATTTCTTTATAATTTATGAGTTTTCATATAATTGATTTTAATCTAATCTTAATAGAAAACTACTAGCTTTATTAAATATACATTTAGTAAAGATGTGAGATTGATCATTCGGAAAATACTCAGGAAAAGATGGTCATTTGAACGATGTTATTCTATAGTCTCATTTTAATCAACATAACATTCGGGTTGCTTAATATTTGTGTAATTTTAATTTTCTGTGATCTCAAATTTATCTCAGCTCTACTTAAAAACCCAAACCCCCCTCAGCCCACCACGCCGATGGGGAAAAAATCCCTTGAATCATCATTCAATTACACATTTGCATTTTCAGGTATTTAAAAATAAAATTGTAATTAGACGTTTTGTATTAGATCTATGTAGGTCTATAACTAAATTATCTTAAATGAATGAAAATAGGCTACGAGTAAGAAACAGTAAATCCGTATCAGTCCTCGCAAGCTGATTGTAACACTAAAGCGAACATGCAAGGCAAACGGACGCTGTAAATCACATGTCTGAGACGAAAAAGAAATGACTCGTACAATCACAATGACCTTAAATTGACCTATGGCGACAGCAACGTGTTTAGCATCCCCTATTTTAGTCTAGTTCGTATGCTATTTTACTTTCTCCATTGAATTACTATTTATACAATTTATGTTCGTGTCTTTGAAACTGTATAAAACTACAAAATAAATTATTATTACTATTTTAAATGTTTGAAATGTATTTTTTTTAAAGCTGCTGGAAGACTGCTATAAATATAGATGTTTGAAAATGAAGCTTATTCGATTTGATGAGTCTCATTGTACTCAAAATATCATTGCCATTTCCCCATACTCTTCCTAACTCTCCACAGGACATTAAATCACAATTTGATTAATTTTTTAAAAAATTTCAGCTTCTAAAAATCTGAAATAAAACGTTTTGAATTATGAATAAATATACCATTTTCAATGGGGATATAAAAAAATAGTCATTAGCAGAAAGAAAAAAAAGATTTTGCAAATACATATTTTTTTACTAAAGTTTTACATAGAGAAGAGAAACAATTTGTAACAATTTACATCAATACATCAACACGGAATAAATAGTGAAGGCATCACTATATAATAGTGTCGACACAAACGCCAACTTGTGAATAATTTATTTAGTCTAACCCTATATACATACGTTGGTTGTTTTTTTTCCAGAATTTGACAGTTACGTTTTTTCTTTAAAAGATTCCAAGTTTGATTTGATACACATGTTTGCCTTTAAATTGTGTAGCAAATGATTTAAAATCTGATTAAAACAGCTTAAATATAAACACTAGTTTCTTTATTCTTGTAAGGATGTTGAACACAAAATATTTTTTTACCAGAACGGTTTAACCTTTAAAAATTATACTCTGAACAAGTATTGTAAAAAGAAGTGTCCGATTTTTTTTTTTTTAAATCAAGATTTTTGTCTTCTTAACTCAATAGAAAGCGACATTTTTTTTTTCATCAAAGTTCGATATTTTTTAAAAAACAAAAATGTTTTCCTTTGTAACTCGATAGAAAGCTCGATTTTCTTTATATGTATCAAGAATTTTTTCATTTTAAATTCGAAGGAAATTTCGGTTTATTTTTTTTTTATTTAAATAATTATTTTCCCTTCAAAATAGAAAGTTCGAGAACGTCTGTTTTGTCGCAAAACAAAAGAAACTCAACTCTCAGATTAGAAAATTTTAAAATAATAATTTTACCCTATTTTATTATTCACATCCCTGTTTTCTTGGAAATTAACTTTCTATTGATGACTTTATTTCCTGCAGATGGCCCCCGTCTCTTCTCGCCCAAAATGAATGAAATCGTCAACCAATTGATAAGACCAGTCTTATGAAACAAACTGCACGTTCGCTACAGGAAATAGCAAATACTAGTCAACTCTCCCGGCGTTGATTTATCTTCTACGGGGAGGTAACTAGCCAACTTCCACACCTAGGGCGTGTGAGGTGTGGGCCCAGTTCGTACCCTGGTCGTTTTATTTTTTTTATGCATGAGTTATGTAAAAACAGGAGGGGCGAATCCTTTTAGAATCGGGTTTCAAAACATAAACAAGGTTTATCTGACTGAACTAACTGCCTCTGTAGTTTACTGCATGAGTGTGTATGTGTTGATCTAGTCACGTTTTTCTAAGGCATGTAACTATAAGCACGCGTGTTTATTTTTAGTTTTAGATTTATGATGGTTGAATCATGTATTGAAACATGCTGGTATATTTTAAAACATCCTTGTACGGTAAATTTCCACTACCATAATACGCAGATAAATTAAATCAATTCATAACAAACAGCAAAGGTAACTCACCAACTTAGGTAACCCTCCTCTACAATGTAAGTAACAAATCACCTCCCTTGTGGGTAAGGTAACTCTCCATTACACCTTAGGTAACTCTTCCTTTCACCTTAGATAACTCTCCAATGCAATGGGGTGAAACTACGATGCCGCCAGACCCCGCTATGCGGCGGGAGGGGGGGGAGGGGCGCAGGCCGTTTAATGGGCCCAAAATCCGACCCAAAAAAAAGAATGCATTTTTAAAATAAATTTTTATATTTGTCGAACAACTCAATAGTGATTTTGTATTAAAAAAAAATAAAAAAAAAAAAATAAAAAAACGCCTTCTATAGCAGTGATTGTTTTACAGTAACTAACACTTACTGTTGCGTAGAAAAAATATTTTCTTTAAATCTACATGAGCTGTAGTGTGAAAGATAGGCAAAAGTTCACACTACTTCCATGACTTATTGCCCTTCTTAAAATAGTCTAATCGGGGTCCCCATAAAGCTCCTTCAAACAGTTTTGTACTAAGTAAATTAAAAAGCAATTGCTCCTCCAAATTATATATAGCCCCACAATTTCTTTTCTTCTTTTTTTTTTGGGGGGGGGGGGGGTGGGGCTTCTAGTTCCGCCACTGAATTATCCCTTACATCCAATGTAAATCTCCCCAGCAGGTTAGGTAACTCTCGAGTACACCCAAAATACATCTTCCCTACATTTAGAGTACTCTCCCCTACAACCTAAGTACCTCAATTACACCACAAACTACCCCTCGTTTAATAACAATCCACGTCCTACCTTTCAATACAAACATATTTATACTAGCGATAAAAAATATTTTAATACTTCCTATTAGTC